CTCTAATGGGCCCCTAATGATCTTGCTTCTTCTTAACAACAGACTGATGGCTTTTGTTCCAGAATGGGTCAATACTGTTTGATTGATGGTATTGAGGTCCCAGTATCACCCCCTTGAGCCCCTGGACAGACAGGACCCATCGGTACTTGTGAAGGGGGAAAAATGTAGGGCCCAGGGCAGCTTTCCCGGGTCAACTTTGTACACACCTGCCAAGATGGGTTCTCTAGATCAGCAGGAAGGTAGACCTGAGCCTCAGTTTGCCCTAGGGCAGTGCTAACCCTTAGACTCCCTGCTTTTCCCAGTTAACCCTGGGACCTGTTCCTTGCCTTTGCAGGAGACAGAAGTAACAGCTAGATAGAAACTTGTTCTGTGTTCATCCTCCGAATGACTAATTCAGTTTCTTTATTAGCTTTAATTCTAAATCATTAGAGTGTGGAGTTCTAGTCTTGTGAAAGCTGCTAACTTATTATAGACCGTTAGAAAATACAAGTTAGTTAGTCATCTTTAAAGTACTGATATAATTATTTACAAAAATAAGCCTTTTTTAAAACAAATAATAAAAAATAAAGTTTGTCTAATCAGACATACCTAGGCAGCACTCATACTTCAGGAATATGCAGAATACGGCATTTAAAATAATAATTAAAAAGCTTACTATATTAGACAGAGACTCTGAGATCCTAGCAGTAACCCAAGGTCTCCAAAGAAGACTATGGGACACCAGATGTCTCCACCTGGATTACAACGACACTGACCACTGGGCGAGGTGCCCCAGTGCAACACCAGCTGCCAGGACCCGGTCCAGACTGTGGGCAAACAGCAGGACCTTGGAGAATTAATTGTACCGCTTTTTCCTAGACAAAATAAGGTCAGTATTTTCCATGTCCCTCTTCCAGAGGGGGAAAAAAAATCCACCTTATGGGTCTGTCTTAGTAAGACTGCTGTTCTGGATATTTCTGCCTCCAATGCTATGGAGACCTGGGTATGACTAATTGTATATGTACTCTGGTCCCTGTCAGTTTTAATAGATTTGAAAACTATTTGGTCTGTACTCAGATATACTTTGTTTATCCTTCTGAGATCTCTGATAGTATTAATGGCTAGGGCAGTTATAATGTCAGTTTAATAGCAAAAGGTATCCAGATTCTTCCACAAAGCTATAGCCAACTTGTTAGCTAGGACTCAAAGATGTGAGTCTATACCTCCTGTTTACAGACATCTGTTATCTGCTCTTTTTCTACATTTTAACTTCTGTTCCCAGTTTAAACTTATCCCAATAGCTTCCACTTGGCTGGCAGACGCATCTAAGCATCAGCTACTGACTGCAACCTGCTCTGAATGGTGGTGAGCCCTGAACTTCCTGAAAGCTGATGTGGACCAGTCCAGCTGATACGAACACACCCTGTCCTTTCAACGAAGTCTGATGAGTGCCCCATTGCCTAATTTCCCTCCCTGCCTTTGGCTAGCCTTTCAACCTGCTTGGGCCCTGAAAACAATGCCCTAATGTCAGCTTGAAGTAGTTGTGGAAAGGAACACATTGTCCTATGTCCCCTGCCCAAGATAGGTTGAAAGGCTGAGATAAGGGACATGGGGAACAAGATAAATACCTATAGTGTCTGTTAATATACTAAAAATAATAGGCCCACAGTTGTCAATGAATGGATTTATGAATTTAAATAGTTCCATACCTTCTTAAAACCAGGGGCAAACCAGCCTGGTCTACAAGAACTAGTTCCAGGACAGGCTCCAAAACCACAGAGAAACCCTGTCTCGAAAAAAAAAAAAAAAAAACAGGGGCAAGCAGGACCCAATACTGGATCCTGTCATTGGTGCTTGGGAAGGGGGAAATATGGGGGCCAGCCATGATAAGCTAAATATGAACAGATCACCAAAGGAAGTTCTTTACTTCCAACTATTATCACCTGCCAGAGCAGGACTCAGCCATCAATAAATTTAAACGGAGGGACTGAGTCTCAGTAGTTTACCCTGAAACAATACCTGGTTGCAGGAAGAACCACAAGCTGAGATTACACGACAACCACCTCAAAACAGACCATCCAAAGGAAATGCCTAACATTCCAACTGCTGTAGATAGGACCACCTGCCGGCACACACTCACCAGGACACCCTAGACAAATGTCAGCCAGTCAGGGGTTCTGAACCTCAGAAACCCCTCACCCCTACCTTTACTACTATAAAAACCCTACTCTAACTGAGCTTGGGGCTCTGCGTTTATTCCAATATGTTGGACATGTGGAGAGACCGAGTTTGCAAACTTGCATAAAATAAAGGCTCTTTGCTTTTACATACGGGACTTGGTCTCCTTGTTGGCTTTAGGGGGACATTGCGGATTTGGGCATAACAATTCTCACTATGTGTTATGGGAGTTCCCTGTGCCTTTCCCTCTGGAAGTGTTGCATGAACTTTGGTGATGGATGAAGATGTACCCAATGGCAGAATTATTAAAATAATTCTTGGGGGAAAAAAATCCCTGCCACCATGGAACCATACAGTGTGATAACTCTGCCTACTCCCACACTAGTTAACACCAAGCTGCTAGGAAATCTGGAGAAGTAATAGATGCTGGATAAATAAGGTATACTTGGTAATCAAGATTTATAAATCCCTGTGGTCTACTCGGGCTCGCACTAATATTTGTTTAGCTTCGTCTGTGCCCACTTCAGGCTTTAGCTATTTGGACAAACTAAGTCATAAAGAAACAACAATATTCTATAATGGAATGTCTGAACCCCCACCCCACCCTCACCCCAGAGAAAATCCTTTCCCCAAGGTCAGGCATTTAGACAAAAGCCTCCATCCCTTCAGGGGCTTGAAGAAAGTTCCTGCCTGATTGAAAAGGGAGTCAGGTGTTCTTCATTTAACACAGACTGGTGCCAATTAACTTGTCAAGGTGAATGCTAGCTCCCCTCTTCCCCCGGGACTCCACAAGTTCTCTTTGGGACCTGTTGTGGGATATTTGTACACTGTGTGAAGGCAGGAGGCTTAGACGGGATTTCTGAGGCAAGAAAGGAAGAGGAGGAGGAGTCTAGGTTCACAGGAGATAACAGAAGGACGTGAAGAGGAAGCAGGAGATGAAGGATGGAAGAGAGGTAACCCCATGGGATGTGATAGACCGTAGACTAATAGAAATGGGTTTATTTAAGTTATAAAAGCTAGTTAGGCCGGGTGGTGGTGGCGCACGCCTTTAATCCCAGCACTCGGGAGGCAGAGGCAGGAGGATCTCTGTGAGTTCGAGGCCAGCCTGGTATACAAGAGCTAGTTCCAGGACAGGAACCAAAAGCCACGGAGAAACCATGTTTCAAAAAGTCAAAAAAAAAAAAAAAGCTAGTTAGGCCAGGCAGTGGCAGTTAGGGAGGCAGAGGCAGGCGGATCTCTGTGAGTTCAAGGTCAGCCTGGTCTACAAGAGCTAGTTCCTGGACAACAGGCTCCAAAGCAACAGAGAAACCCTGTCTCAAAAAAAAAAAACCTAGTTAGGAACAATCCTAAGCTACAGACTGAGCTTCCATAATAAGTCTCTGCATCATTATTTGGGAGCTGACTGCAGTACAGAAATAGGCTCGTTATAGGAACCTATGCTCTCAGGCTCCTGAACTGATATATTCACAGACACACACACATATACATAATTTAAAAAAATAAAAACAGAGTAAAGGGGCCTTGGAGTTGGCACAGAACACATTCAGACACCAAAGTCTCAGCACAAAGGAGATTTATTTATTAAGATAGGGAGGCAGGGTGGCTGGACCTGAATTGGGCAGAAGCAGCAAGTGGCTCAGCAGGTGGGATTTTTAAGGAGAAAAAAGGGAAGTCAGGGCTGGGCTAGGACAGGTTGGTAGGTTTTGATTGGTCTTGTCAATTAGGGTAGTCAAATGGGGGTCTTTGATTGGGCATGTTAATTATGATAGCCAAATGGGAGACTTGGACATGCTTATTAGGGTAGCTAAAGGAGGAATTTTGATGCTGGCCCTTGGTATTTTGATAAGTGGACCTCAAGAATGAGTTAGGCATGAGGAAGTGGTCACATAGGACTTTAGTGGTTTAGCCCGAGAGAGAAGAAGGGAAGGGAAGGGTGCAATCAGCATGTTGGGGCCTGCTAGAGCCCTTCACACTGGATGCTGGGGAAATGGCTCCACAGTTAAGAACACACACCAAGTTCAGTCTCCAGCTCCCACACCAGAGGGCTCACAGTCACCTGCAGTTCCCCCTCCAGGAGAGCTCATGCTTCTGGCGTGAGCACATATGAACTCATACCCACACATATACACATAATTAAACATACTAAAGCAAATTCTAAACAAAGCTTAAAACATCTTTAAAAAGAAAGCAAAACATAGGTGCAAAAAATATTGTAGAAAATTACCTCAAGATGAGTGAATAAAACATGTAATACATAGGGAACTTCATGTTTAGACTCCGCTCTCATGCCCAGAATATCTCATTATAGATCTTCAAACATTTCAAAGTCTGAAATCTGTAATGCAGTTATCCCAAGCATCTCAGACAAGGGACACTCGTCCCCCTTTGCCTGTAATTACCTGTAAATACCCCTTTCCTATGAGAAATAATTGCCCCTTGGACTAATTCAGTTACTTAAACCAGTCTTCTATTTGCTGTTGTTGCTGCTTCCTTTTTCTTTGTGCATTGGGACAAAATCTCATGTAGCCCAGGTTAGCCTCCGGCTAATATGTAGCCGTCTTTGTTAGGCTTCACTATTGCTGTGGAAAGACACCATAACCACGGCAACTCTTATAAAGAAAACATTCAGGGGCTGGAGAGATGGCTCAGAGGTTAAGAGCGTTGCCTGCTCTTCCAAAGGTCCTGAGTTCAATTCCCAGCAACCACATGGTGGCTCTCAACCATCTGTAATGAGGTCCGGTGCCCTCTTCTGGCCTTCAGACATACACACAGAATATTGTATACATAATAAATAAATAAATATTAAAAAAAAAAGAAAACATTCAATTGCGGCAGTGGCTTACAGTTTCAGAGGTTCAGTCCATTATCATCATGGTGGCGAGCATGGCGGCACCCAGGTAGACGCGTCATGGGAGGACTAACTGAGCTTCCTGGATCTTGCAGGCAACAGAAGTCAACTGAGATACTGGGCAGGATTCCAACCATAGAAAACCTCAAAGCCCGCCCCACAGTGACACACTTCCTTCAACAAGGCCAAACCCACTCCAACAAAGCCACATATCTTAATAATGCCCCTTCCTATGAGATTACGGGGGGGCGGGGGGGTGGAAATTCAGTTCAAACTACCAGAGTCCACTCCCTGGCCCCCGTAAGCTTGTAACAGTATCAGAACGCAAAAATGCATTCAGTCCAACTTTAAAAGTCCCCGTAGTCTACCACAGTCTCAACAATGTTTTAAAGTCCAAAGTTCAAAGTCTCTTCTGCAATAAATGCAGTCTCTTTACTGAAACTCCCTATAAAATCAAAAATAAAAAATAGATCACATATTTCCTGTTGAAGTGGGAAGGCAACCTTGGTGGGTTGGAGTCAAGGGGCCCCACGAAGTCATACCATACAAGAGAATTCATGTGGGAGGTGTACTGGGAGGAGGGAGGCTGCAGGGGCTGCCTCTGGGAGTGAGAGAGAGAGAGGAAAGGGTGAGATGGTCTCGCCTTTTATGCCAAGATATATTGTGTGCACACAGGGAGTGGCTGATGCACAGAGGAGTGGCTGTAGCAGATGACGTATCCTGCCAGGTGCCTGAGAGCACACCGGCACAAATGCCTGAATACTAACACTTCCAACATATAAAGGCACGGCATACATATTACCATTCCCAACGTAGGGAAGGGAGCATAGTGAGGAAATGCTGGACCAAAGCAAGACTGGAAATCAGTTGGGCAAACTCCAAACCCTGCATCTCCATGTTCGATATCTGAATTGCTCTTCTGATCTCCAAATCCATTCAACTTTATTTACTACAACGCACTTCTTTTTCTTGGGTTGTTTCCACTCCCTGTTAGCAGCTCTCCTTACAGGTATCCCATGACTCTGGCATCTCTAAGATCTTGGGTTCTCCAAGGCAATCCAGGGTTCAAGTACACAGCTTCATGCAATGACCTCAGGGACACCCCGACACATGCCTGGCCTTAGCAGCTTTCTTTAGGCACGGAGACAAATTCCATAACTCGTTTCTTTTATTCTTAACTCAAAACCCAGAATCACATGGCTGAAACTGCCAAGTTTTGCTGCTTACTGGGACTGGAACACGGCCCCCTCATTTGATTACATCTTCACCAGCTTTCTATTGTTCACTGCCTAAGCTTAGCTGTCCTGAAACTTGCTCTGTAACAAGCTGGCCTCAAATTCAGATCTACCTGCTTCTGCTTTCCTAGTACTAAAATTAAAGGTGAGCCCCACCAGACCAGGCTCAAAGCTTCTCTTTAGTTCCTTTCCACAGTTGGAAATGCGTCTGGGTGGGACCTTGTCCTGAGGTCACCACTCATTGTACTCCTTTTGTTTTGTTCTGTTCTTTGAGACAGGGTTTCACTGGGTAACAGCTCTGGCTGTCCTGGAACTCTCTCTGTAGACCAGGCTGGTCTCGAACTCACAGAGATCCACCTGCCTCTGCCTCCCCAAAACTGGGATTAAAGATATCCGCTACCACTGCCTGGTTTATTCCATTTCTTTCTTTCTTTTTTTTAATTTATTTATTATATATATACTCGCCAGGAGATGGTGCCAGATCTCTTTACAGATGGTTGTGAGCCACCATGTGGTTGCTGGGAATTGAACTCAGGACCTCTGGAAGAGCAGCCAGTGCTCTTAACCTCTGAGCCATCTCTCCAGCCCCCTTATTCCATTTCTTAATGCTCTTTTTCTCCTCAGAATTTAAATTTTGTGATTTACCCTTCTCAGCTTGCTCCTTTCCATTATAAGTCTTTCCAAGCATGGACACAAGTAACCACATGACAGAGTCTGTAGTGGGCTGTTCTGAGATTTCCTCTGCCTACAGAACTAATCCCAAACCTTTCACTTTAGCCTCCAGACTAACCCAGTGTAGCAAAGACCATATTCTTTTACACAAAAACATGGTCAGGCCTATAACAGCAAGAGCCCAGTCCCTGGTACCAACTTCTGTCTTAGTTAGGATTTCTATTGCTGTGAAAAGACACCATAACCATGGCAACAACAACAAAAATACACTTAATTGGGGCATATCAATTATAGTTTCAGAGATTCTGTCTATTATCATCACGGTGGGGAGCATGGCAGCTGTAGGCAGATGAGAGCTGAGAGTCCTATATCTTGCAGGCATCAGGAAATTGACTGAGATACCGGGTGGTATCCTGAGTATAACGGTCTGTCCTGTCCCTTAAAGAGACAAGCCCCACCCACTCCAGCCTGAGCTTTTTCTTTTCTGTCTCTCTCGAGAAGAGGTAGCTTCTCCTCTCCTCTCCTTCTCCCCGTCTCTCTCTTTCTCTCTCTCCCCTCCCCTGTCTGTCTTCAGAAGCAGCGCTGCTGCTGTGACTCTCCTCTCCCCCCTCTCTTTCTCTGTTTCTCTCTCTTCTCTTCCCCACTCTCCCCTTCCCCCTCTGTAACCCACTAAATAAATACCCACTTTCTCCACAGGGCAAGCCTATTTGTCTCTGTCTCTCATCCACCGCCTCCCACCCACCTTGAACCCACAGAAGCCTCGGGTGCTAAGGACCGGCTACCCCTCGTGGCCCTCTGTGGCCTCCCACCTGCTGCTGCCCTAAACCACCTACAGTGGCCTGCTGCTGCCCCTTGGGGAACTGCAGCTTTTACCATTACACTGAACATAGGAAACCTCAAAGTCCAGTGACACACTTCCTCCAACAAAGTCACAGCTCCTAATAGTGCCACACTCACTACAAAATTGTGGGGGCCAATTACAAAAAAAGCTTCCACAGTAGCTCATGATGATTTTGAACTTCTGAGTCCCCTGCCTCTGCTTTGAGAGTAGCGGGGTAACAGGCACAGACATGCATGGCTATGTTTACCATGCTTCGTTTTGTGATACTTTATACTTAGAAATTCTTTTTTGTTGTTATTGTCTTTTCTTTTTTGAGACAAGGTTTCTCTGTGTAGCTTTGGAGCCTATCCTTGAACACACTCTGTAGACCAGGCTGGCCTTGAACTCACAGAGATCTGCCTGCCTCTGCCTCCCGGGTGCTGGGATTAAAGGTGTTAGCCACCACTGCATGGCTATACTTAGAAATTCTTGAAAAAGAAATAAGCCCATCAAAATAAATAAAACTAAACTGGGCCTTAGTGGCATATGCCTTTGATACCAGCAGGAACCTGGTGGCAGGTGTTAATGCAGAGCCCCCAGTGGGGTGCTGCTTACTGGCTTGCTCCCCAAGGCTTGATCAGCCTGCTTTCTTACAGAACTCAGGACCACCAGCCCAGGGGTGTCCCCACCCACAATGGCTGGGTCCTCCCACATCAATCACTAATTAAGAAAATTCCCTTGAGGCTAGAGATATGGTTCAGTGGTTAAGACCACTGACTGCTCTTCCCAGAGGCCTAAATTCATTTCCCAGAATCCATATGGTGACTCACAACCATCTGCAATGAGATCTGGTGCCCTCTTCTGGCCTGTAGGCATACATGCAGGCAGAACACGGGATACATAATAACTAAATCAGAAAGAAAGAAAGAAAGAAAGAAAGAAAGAAGAAGGAAGGAAGGAAGGAAGAAAAGAGAGAGGAAGGAAGAAAAGAGAGAGGAAGGAAGGAAGGAAGGAAGGAAAGAAAACGCCCTACAAGCCAGATCCTGTGGAGGCATTTTCTCAATTGAGACCCCCCTCCTCTGATGGCTCTAGCTTGTCCCAGGCTGAGGTAAAACTAGCCAGCATTCTGCCCTGCTGAGCTGAAGCTACAGATTCTGTGGGTTGAGCCTGACTTTTCTGAGCGCTGGGTGTCGAACTCAGGTCCTCATGCTTACACAGAAGCCCTTTTCCATCTGCTCTTACCCACAGTCATCTCTCCAGACTCCCTTTCGCTTTTTCCTTTCTTACTTGCTTGCTTTGGTTTCTTTCTTGTATATTATAGATTTTCCTTAAAAAGATAACAATGTGGGCTGGAGAGATGGCTCAGAGGATAAGAGCACTAACTATTCTTCCAGAAGCACTAAATTCAATTTCCAGCAACCCCAGGGTGGTTCACAATCATTTGTAATGAGATCTGGCGCCCTCTTCTGGCCTACAGCCATACATGCAGGCAGAATACTGTATACATAATAAATAACTCTTTTTTAAAACTACGTAACAATGCTTGATTTTCTGTATATTTAAGAGTGAGGGCTTACCAGGCGGTGGTGACACACACCTTTAACCCTAGCAGAGGCAGGTGGATCTCTGTGAGCTCGACGCTAGCCTGGTCTACAGAGTGAGTTCCAGGACAGCCCAGGGTGATTATGATAGCAGAATTCGTGTCTGTTTCATTAACAGAAGTCTGATGATTTCCTCCCTCAAAGGCTTATTATTGCTCTCATTTGCCATTGTTTAGGGATTCATATTTGCAGGGTTGCTAAGCCAGGCACCGTTCTGTTTGCCTTTCTAAAATACCCCTATTCTAGTCTCATTCCCTTTCGCTTTGTTCTCAGAGATTTTCCCCTCACGGTCTGGAGAACTTTAACTGGAGTCCCCTTTATTTTTCCCCTCTCCTCTGCTCTCCTTCCTCACCCATGCCTGCCTTGATTGTTTTTCGTTTTCTTCAGGATTTTGCTATATATAAGCTGGGCTGGCCTCCAACTGTCCATCTTTCTGCCTCAGCCTGTAATTATAGGCTCCCAACTCCTGACTCCACTATTATTTCTTCTTCTCCTTTTGAGATGGGGTTCTCATGTATTCCAGGCTTGGACCGAACTCTGTGTAGCCGATGGTGACTGCTTGGAATCCAGCTGTACACCAGCATGTTTGGTTTATACTGTGTGGGGGTGGGGGTGGTATTGTACCCAGGGCTTCACACATGCTGAACAAGTCATCTGCCAACATATCTGTGTGTATTTGAGACAGGGTCTCATATATCCCAGGCTAGCCTCGAACTTATCGCATGGAGGAGGGTGACCCTGAATTATTGATCTTCTGCCTCTGTTTCACAAGTGCTGAGATTCCAGGCATGCACTATCACACTCAGCCCATTAAGATAATTTTATTGAAGGACAAATTCAGGCTTTGATTCAGATTATTTGGTTGCCCTGAGTAGTATATATGTGTGTGTGTGTGTAAATATATATATATATATATATATATATATA